GTGACAACAATTAAAAACAACAACAAATCGTTGGATTCTTGGAGATTTCTTTCCTGGTGTCCATTATAGGTTGTACAGAAAATAGGACAACAGAGTGCTCAAGTGCCTTTGTGCCTTTTGGTTGTTAACTTTCTGACAATCACCCCCCAGGGAGGAGAACTGAAGAACTAGTACCCAAGGTCAAACCCAAAAGATTCTAACAGCATGCTTCTTGGCTATCTCCCCAAATCCCTTCCAAACTCCTGCAGGAAAGGTTCCAATTGGCAAACTCTGCAGGTTCTTCATAGCTCCCAACCATCTTTTTTAGTTCCCTACTCCATTTATTCCCCTGAATTTTGCTTGCTTGCTTATTTTTGTTTTTATTTATTTCTAACGTTATTTTGAAATAGAAAAGAACTTGGAGTACATTCCAATGAAGATCACTGACTATAGCCTTCAGTATGGATTGCCACTCAATGTAAAGAAAATAAAAATCCACACAATTGAATCAGTAGGTGACATCATGATAAATGGAGAACATATGGAAGTTGTTGAGGATTTCATTGTACTAGGGTTCAATAAACACGAATGCAAGCAGGAGCCAAGACATCGAATCACCCATTATATGGGCAATGCTACAACAAAAGGCCTCTTAAAATATTAAAGAGCAAAGACGCCGCTTTCAAGACGAAGGTGTGCCTGACCGAAGCCAAAGTATTTTCAATCATTTCATATACACGCGAAGTTGGTCAATGAATAAAGAAACCTGGAGAAGAATTGTCCTGCCGTGGATATGCTGCCTGGACAGTACCATAGGCTCCCAGAAGAATGAGCAAATCTATCTTGGAGGAAGAAGCTCCACACAGGCTCCTTAGATGTGAGGATGGAGGGATTCTCACGAAGGAGCACTCCCTGGAGGAAGACAGTGTCCTTGGTGAAACAGTGTGAGATGGAGGATGGAGGATCAAGAGCCTCTAACAATGAGTTCGCTGGAACGATTGGGAGGACGGGGCAGCACCGGGCAGGGCTTTGTTCTATTGTACATGTCAGTCAGGACCAACTCCAGGGAACCTAACAAAAACTGGAAAAAAAAAAGTAGTTGATAATCAGTACTTTTCTGAACTTACTTCACAAATGTATTGATTGTTAAATCTCTTTCCTCTGTTATTAAAACTCCCCCAGCATATTTTCTGGGTGCCTTGTGCCTGCTGGGGCTGGGTGGCCCTCCAAAGGCACTCCAGTCCTCCTCTGGTCTTGGCACTGCTGCTGTTCTTCCGTGACTCCCCTAAGCGCTTGTGCAGATGTTCCTTGTGCAGATGGTCCTTGGGCCTGCCGCACCTTGCCAAGGCCTGCAGTTCTGTCACAGGGAGGCTTTCTCTCTAAAGCTTCTTCCTACAAACTTGTGCATTTCATTTGTGTTCCTACTAGACTTTTTTACTTTATTTAAGAAAACCTTCAGTTTCCTGGCCTTCCCTTGTAGGGTAGTTAATATTTAGTGGACCTGGGGTGCATTGAGTGCTGGACTTGTGCCCCATTTCCGTTTCAGGGCTCCTTGTGATGTCAAGGATTAGATTGTTCAGCAAATTGGGTTGAATTTTTTTCTTTTAATCATTTTTGTATTGGGGGCTCATACAACTCTTATCACAATCCATACATACTTCAATTGTGTAAAGCATATTTGTACACTCATTGCCCTCATCATTCTCAAAACATTTGCTCTCCACTTAAACCCCTGACATCAGCTCCTCGTTTTTTATCCCCATCCCTCCCTGCTACCTCATGAACACTTGATAATTTATAAATTATTATTTTGTCATATCTTGCTCTGTCCGACTTCTCCCTTCACCCACTTTTCTGTTGTCCATCCCCCAGGAAGGAGGTCACATGTAGATCCTTGGGTTGAATTTTTTAAGTTTCAATTGAATTCAAACAATGCTTACTGCTTCGCATTGTTATAGAAAAAAAGAATCGTATGTTCAAATGAATATAAAGAGAATGCAGAAGCAAATAGCAGTAAACTACTTTGAACAGAATGAATATGTAGTGTTTTAATAAAAACTATCTAGCATGTGTGTAGTGGTTGAGTTACAGGACACAGCTACATGTGCTGACGCATTCCTAACTGAAAAAGAAAAGATTTGCTACAGAAAGTTCCCCTGCAAAGCATCTTGAAAAAAATCTGTATCTCTTATTATTACTTATATTTAACCAGGTGAAGCATTGGTCAGTCTTATCTAGGAATAATTATCTAAGGGAAAGTGCCAGTTGAATTGAGCCTTCATTTCTGGGTGTGGAAGAATTTCCATATATTTAGATGATCAAAAATGATGTTTCAAACCATTTAGAAAGGTTAGTTTTGAGTGTAGACTTGACTGGACTAGGTTCCCAGTTGTTTGGCTAAACACTAATCCAGTTGTTGTCATGGAATAGTAATGTACGTGTGATGAAATCAGTTGGACTTCTGCTATGTAATGTAATGTAGCATTATATATAATATATATAATTACAGTGATATCTCCGTTGTCAAACTCAATTCGTTCCAAATTTGTGTTCGAACACTGAAAAGTTCAAGAACTGAACATATTTTTCCCATAAGAAATAATGGGAAACCAAATTAATTGGTTCTGAGGCCCCAAAATTGCACTTATAAATTCATTTTTTCCAGGACTTTAACACAAAGTTACCAGTTGTGGAAATACAGCAGAAAAACATCTAACACAATACATATAGTACTTTAAATATCAAAATCCAATCCAATAAATACAATTAGCTTATTTTTCAGTATGCTTTGTTGTTTAAAAACCTATGGGTTTTCGGAAGGGTACACTACCACGGGCTTCACTTTAAAATCCCCACTAGCATTCGCTCCCAACAGCAGAGCAAGTCGATCTTTCAAAGGCTTGTGAGCTGGCA